ACGTCGTTGCCAAGCGACGAAAACCCAATCCCGATAGGCAAACACCGGAGGGGGGGGGGTGTACTCATAGTCGTGCATGCCGTAGTCGTTAGACCATTGACCTCGCATCCCTACAAAGCCGGGACGGAGCACGCCGGTGTTCACCGAACCAGGCCCTCACATCACCAAGCGCGAAGCGCCGTGGGGTATTCGGCGAGTCGCATGAAGGTTGCGGTGCATCCTGCTATGGGTGTTCGGCATCTTGTGCTTACTTCCTTGCATAGGGATGACAGCTGCGGATGACAAAATTTCTTTTCTGGTGCTTCACTTCCAGAGACAGCTGTAAGCACTGGGTAACTGCCTTGAGGGTGCTTGACCATTTTAACACAACGCGGTGCGATCAGCCCCCTTGCGCGGAGTGAGTCTAATCCACCTCGCGCGACATGATCTACTCGACCACCATTATGGTTACCGCCAAAACAAAACAGAGGNGATGACAAAATTTCTTTTCTGGTGCTTCACTTCCAGAGACAGCTGTAAGCACTGGGTAACTGCCTTGAGGGTGCTTGACCATTTTAACACAACNTTGCGGTGCATCCTGCTATGGGTGTTCGGCATCTTGTGCTTACTTCCTTGCATAGGGATGACAGCTGCGTATGANCCCCTTGCGCGGAGTGAGTCTAATCCACCTCGCGCGACATGATCTACTCGACCACCATTATGGTTACCGCCAAAACAAAACAGAGGTAAAAACAAAAAGGTAACCTGGTTGCCGAGTTCACCAAGTGACTTGGCTTGTTGTGCAACGTCGTTGCCAAGCGACGAAAACCCAATCCCGATGGCAAGCACGGAGGGGGGGCGGGGGTAGGGGCGCGAAAATAGCCACTCTGCCCCCAATAAAAAAGGCACTTCTGTTCAGCTGGGTAGGGGGTTGGGAGCACCGCAGATTTCTGACGTCACGCCATCATGTTTCGTATTGGGGCGTTTCGTTCGTTGTGGCAGAGATTGAGCTATGTTTCTTGGCCCTTCTTTCATATTTTTCGTGAGCATTTGAGCATTTTCTTTCAACAGAATTTCTCTTAACTGCGGGCGGTATCTGTACATCAGTAGGCGTTCGCTCACAGCACCTCGTTGGCGGATGTCGTCCTAGCGACGAGACCATTGTTCTTCGTATCAATATCCGTTCCGATCTCTCTCCCCGCACCTTCATCTGTCTGTACTGATCTATGTAACAATTAACCCGGTGGATGCCCGTGGGCACAGACTAACTTACCCCAACAAGAGGAGTACTCAAATTACAGGGACCCGAAGGGTGCGGGAGCCAATTGCAGCGAAGAAATGAACCTATATTTCAGCCAATGCCGAGCATTGGCCATGCGGAAGTTGTTGATACGAACGGTGCATTCACGACGACAATACATTTAGTCTACACCGCATCCGCGCTACGTGTGTTTCGCAAGCGACCCTTCGTGGAGTGGCTACAGCGGCGTCGCGACCACAGAGCAGCCCCGACAGCAACGCCGGCACCGATGGCCAGCCAGACCCCTACGTGGAGTCCCTTCCAGTTGCATCCTCCGTCGCCGCCCGTCGGAGGAGAAGAAGACTCCATTGATGATGCCACCGCTGTCTCGCCCTCCTCACCCATTTACCTCGATCAAACCCGCCACATTAACCTCATCTGGCCCTCCCAGCGTGTTCTCGTTGCCTGCGATCTGCACCTCGGCCGCGGTGGCTGGTTCGGTGGCCCTGGAGTCCTCCTCGTCATTCCCTCCCATTGGCGTGCTCGACTGAGCATGCATCTTGGCCGTACTGCTGACCTCGATCTGAGATACATGCCGTCAATGGTCGGTAAAGGTTGGGACAACGGAGAGTCGGGACGGGGAGAAGGGTTCAGCTATGCAATAAAATGGGCAAGGGTATATAGAATGAACACGCAGACGCACCGACTGCCACGTAGTATTGATCCGCCGTTGTTCGTCAATGTTCAAGCTATTGTAAGTACACTGCCCATCCTTTCTCGTCATTGGACTGCTGTGCACATGCTTCTAACCAACAGTTCGGACTCAATCACCGGGGCACAGCGTAGATTGGTTATATAAGTTTTGTGTGACGTTGGGTGTACATGACTTATGGTTTCCATCCGCGAGCCCATCCGAGTGTGGAAATACGCACCTCTGATGTCAGCGAAGGGGTTGTGTACCGGCGGATGGTACCTGGTCCTGTCTGAATCATCTCAACGTGGAAGTGGGTCTGACCTGACGCTCCTTGGCTCTCGGAGGCACCTGTTGTTGCCACTGGTAGTCGGCCGCACGAAGATGGGATATTCTGCGGATATTCCGAGTGACAGTGAAAGGGCAGATTCATTCACGAGATGCGTATTGACCTTGATCGTCACCAAAATGCGCCACGCGTAGTCCCCCTACCGGACATTCTCTCTATTCGTATGTGTCCTCTCTTCTCTCTTCGCCGATCATACATATGCCATGTATCGGAACACTGATAGCAATTCAAAATCCGTTCTCGCCGTGGTTGCTCGTAGACGGACTGTCCCGGGATGAACGGTTGAGATTGCGCGTTCAAGCCGCTCGCAGCTTGCGGAGACCTGTACACGGCGTCTATTTGCTCGTTCGTGGGTGTCGTCCTCGATGCCATCGTGACGTGTTGGGTGTTGTGCTTCACAGTGGATGGTATGAAAAGCTAGGTGCGTGTTTCTCGAACAGATTGTCGTGAAAACGATGGCGGAAAGGATTGTGAGCAGTGTGTGATGGGGTGCGGGTAGGGGGAGTTTCCGGCTCGGCATGACATACTCGGCGCTTTCTCCTGTACAGTTGTTGTTGAACCGACAACGAGACTGTCGTACATTATCAAGTTTGTGCAGAGCACTTGACAGTCCTCCCCGCGCATGGGGTAATATGTATGAAATGAGTTCTTAGCGCGTCGTTCAGTTGCACCCCTAACTTTCCCCCCAAAGTTTGTTCCCAATCACGGGCACCATGCTTGTCTAAATACTGTTGCACTAATGATTCGGGGAATTGATGCACCCGAGGGTCTGTATCACGGGCGGGACGACTGTTCACGTATGTACGCCGCATTTCGGTCCAGCACTGACATATGCGTTCGTAACCGAAAGAGGATAAAAACAGTGAGTGAACTGTCGCACCTCCCTCGCGACTCAGACCCACGGCGTCGCGGTCTCGGCACGGATCGGCGTGTTGGCACCCACCCCTGTGCGATCCGAATGGGAGAGCGAAACATTCCCAAAGACGACCCACTCCATGCGGGGGCTGCCGACGATGCCAAGTGAAATAGACATGTGTAGCTATCCCCGAAGACAGAAGACCCTGATGAAGACTCACTGACTTGTTGATTCCTCTCTTTTGGCATCAGTACATGCTGTTGCCTTTGCTCTTTTTCTGGTAGAGAGGGGAAATGGCGGGCCAGTTTCCTAAAAAGGCTAAGAAGGTCCTGTCCCCTTCTTTGTCGTTCAATCGGAATTAATTACATCTCCCGCACGTTCCTTTCGCGAAATAGCCCGCTCTACCGTTGATGCTTCCAATATTCAAACCCGAGTAACAGGCTTGCAGATTTACAGAGTTTCCCGTACATGCCAGAGATTGCCGGGTGATATGCTGAAGCGTTCCCTCTCGCTGAGGCCGCTGCTTGTCTCTCTGCGTATGCAGGTGTCATCTGGGTCTGGAGACCGCCGCGAGGTGGCCGACACCCCGCGAGTCCCCAGGCTGTCTTCGGAAGATTCTCACGGTTTTCCAATGAACCTGGACCGCTACATAGCCCGCCTGTCGACAGTCGGACCAAGTGGCCAGAGAAACATGGCATTTGCTTACTTTCGCGAACTTGTTTACACACGATTCGCTTCGGAAAGCCTGTCGGAGGGTTTGTCTTCCTGGAAACGAAAGGTACCCACATCTAGAGACCAACTGATTACGTTACACACATCCAATGTGTGGCGCATAGAGGGGTTGCTTGGCGCGCGAGCGGAAAAGCACAGGTTACAGGCAGCGCCACGTCAGATTCTCCACTGGCCGCAGTAGTGTACAGTGTCGGGAAAAGCGGACGATATGTGCCGCCATATTGGTGCCCTAATCATGTTTACTCTAAATTGAAGTTTGTCCCAAGGCAAGACGATCACGATTTCGGAGGAACACGGCGAAAATCGCGGGGCAGGTTGCTGGCAGCAGCATCTTCACACACACCCTGCGAAAATCATTGCAAGATGCAATGTATCCATGCTGGTGGCACCGCAAGGTGTGTGTGCGACGCGAACATCGTTCGAAACACGAATATATTGTGGCTTCCAGAACAACAGCGTGCGGCCCAAAAATCAAACATTGGACGAACGAGATCCGGACGAATCCCTCAAATATTATAGGGCGATGCTTCCTTTCGGCATCCCTAGCAGTGATTCACATACCCTCTTTGCCTCTGGCATACCAGTTGCGCAATAACACGGCCCACACAATTGCCAACACGATACATGAATATCCTAGCACAAACGTGAAAACTTCCCAATCGACACACAAATTCGGCCGCAAACCTAAGCTGGCCACCTCTGCGCCAACACTTTCAGCATCGCACACGCACTACCATCACTCAAAGTTGAGGGCCCTGCCAATGCCCGACACACATCATGCTGCACCAAACCAACCACGACCAATTACCGTGCATATGGTGGCACACAAACGCCACCCAACGAGCACGGACCCAACACAAAATTATCCCCTGATAAGCGCCTGCGTGCCTCATCTCCGACGTGCATCGGCCACGCCTTTCACCGACACTACCGCCTTAAACAGCGCGTATGTACAGGCTTCTACCCCCAGTACAGATATACCATGGAACAGCGAAATAGAAAAAAAAAAAAAACGCCTTGTTGCCGATCGAGCGAAGCGCAATGCCCAGGGAAAGAAACTAGCGGAAACACGGGTAATGTCCTCCCGTGTGTGACCACGGGAAGCTCTTCCCGCGTTTGGAACCTACCCGGCACGCCTCTACGATACGTTCCTCGAGCGTCGTGTGTCGTCGCGACACCTGCACACTTCTACTGTGCATTGATTGCTCTTCCGAGGTACATAAGCACCGGGCTACGTAACCAGCTGCGCACGATACACCCAAGCAAACCGAAACCGTCACGCCGATGCCGCCGTCACCCATGGCGTTCATGATCATTATCATGCTCACGCTTCCGGCAAGTCTTCTTCGTCCACCACGGCAAAGTGGACGTCACTCTCCGGGTACGAGATGCACGTCAGCAGGAACCCCTATCGAGCAGCGTAGATGGAAATCGTAGCAAAAGTATCAACACACGCAGGGTTTAGCACGTTGTGGCAGGGAAGCACATACACCCGGCGAGATAGAGAAAGAGAAAGAAAAGGGCGAAGAGAAAAGCTCGCGCAGCGGGGACGATGAGGTGCGTGCCCACGAACAGAGAGCATGGGAGAGATATCCAGATGTTGGAGTCAACAGAAGCGCGTTCGTCGAGAGAGTGAAGATTGGTCGAGACCTCCCTAAGCCTTTATAACAAGTGATACACGCACGGGTTCGAATCCCAGATGTTCACTTTCACAAGCACCCTTAGTTCTTTTCTTGCAGCGCCTGACGAGGGGTCCGTCCCCGGAGATCTCTGCTCTCAAAAAGCCATAAACCCAAGTGATCCAGCCGGGTGCTAATGAGCTGAGCGTATATCTTTTGTAAGATAAAGTTACACCATTAGACTGGTCAGGAATCCCAGATGTTCACTTTCACAAGCACCGTTAGTTCTTTTCCTGCCGCGCCTGGCGAGGTGTTCGTCCCCGGAGATCTCTGCTCTCAAAAAGCCATAAACCCAAGTGATCCAGCCGGGTGCTAATGAGCTGAGCGTATATCTTTTGTAAGTTAAAGTTACACCATTAGACTGGTCAGTCAGCGCTGACTAGTCTAATGGTGTAACATTATCTTACACCGCAACATCTGGTTGGTTACGCCAGCTGTAGGCGGCCGCTCAACAGCACTAGGAAAGTCTACCCTACAACAGCAGTCTGTACCGTAGTAAGCGTTCCAAAGCACAAATTGTATCGACTACAGAGATCCGTGCCAAGACAACAAAATACAACACCTCCAATCCTTGCCCGTGATTGTGCAGCTATGTAAGCGGCTATCTTATCCCTCACACCCATCGAGACCATTGTGTGGAAGGACAAAGTTGCTTGCTCACCGCATCCTTCTGCTCGTCCTCCAAGACACCCTCGCTCTGATCCACGGAGCCGCTCACGATCTTGCCGGGACACGTGAGGCAGCTGCCCGACATGCACGAGCTCGGCAGCTCCAAGCCCGCATCCATGGCGGCTTCCAGGAGAGTCGTTTCCGCATCGCAGTTGACTTCATGGATGGCCCCCTCCCACTCGATTTTCACCTTCGAACACATAGCACGGCGGAAATCGGGAGACCAGGGAGGAGACATGTTGGGTGTTGGCGTTAGCAACTCCAGCCATCGAGCTTCTGGCGTTTAGAAAAGAACAAGCATAGAACCTGTATCCAGTTCTGCATCGCGTGCATCCTTCATCGGTGAGGGTAACGTACTACTGTGGTCACAGAACATAGTCCCATGGGATGAGCGTGGGACCAAGAAAATATATGGGCCGTGTGCCGTGTAGCAAGTTTACAGGGCTGCGAGGCAGCGACGCTTCGATGGTCTCACACTCCGCACGTCAAACTTCCGCTTGGAAGCGGGGGGCGGCATGAAGCCACGCTTCCGCTCTGGACACCAGCATCTCCATAACCCTCCAGCATTTATCTGGACTTTCCCTGCACCAAAACAGTCGAAAACAATCGTCCACGCCAGAAAGCCAACGATTGCCACCACAAACACATCGGGGGTCTCACCTTGTAGCTTGACCCGGCGGGGGGAGCGACAGCTGGGGGGGCTTCTGCCGGAGGAGCAGCCACCTCCGGCACTGCTGCGGGAGGAGCGGCGACTACTGCTGCCGGTGCCGTCGCTACTGGTGGTGCTTGTGCCACTGGTGCTGATGCTGCCTCGCCACCCGACTCCCGTAGCCACTGGTCGATGCGTTGTTGTGCAGCCGACGTGCTGTACAGAGAGTAGTTTAGGGAGTGACAAGAGCGGCCGTCGTACAGCACCGGGGGCGATGAAGGCTGAGTTCTCGTAGGAGATTGTAGTCTGCTGCAACTACGAGATGTACCAGGGATGCCCTATGGGCGACAATACCCGCCTCCATGATCAAATGATACCATTAAACCCTGCGAACGACGAAAAAAAATGGGCTTGTTGCTACCCCTACACCGTTGGTGGCGTACGGGGCGTCCGCGTGGAAACCATGGAACCCCGCCCATGTGTCGTGGGTGACACCATAAACCACACCCCGCGTGGACTGAGTTTCGAAGGCCCATGTCTCGACAGCAGAAAGCACGGCGGTTCCTATAACGGCGGCGTCAGGAATGTCTCGTCCAGATCTTTCCGAAAAAAGTATCGTTTGACTCATTCATCCTCTTCGTCATGGAGCATTGAAGCTGTGGAAATCGATGCAAGGGGTGTGATATCTTACGTCACCTACCGTACATCCCCCTCCCACGCGCCCCATATCTGCCCCAAGCAGGCACTACCCATATCAATGTGGAGTGAATCGCGTCGGGTGTGTGTGTGTGTCCTTTCCACGGGTCTTCCCCCCTTTGCCTTTTGGGTATGTGTGTGCGATACCATAGGAATGATACGGAGGTATTGAACATAACGGTCGGACCAAAACGAAAGCATTTCAATTGCACGTCCTAGACGGGGACAAAGTCAACGTCCCCCCTCCCGCTCCTCTTCAGCCAGAACAAGACGAAGCGTGTGGGGTTGGTCTACGGTTTCCACGGAAATAGCCTATCAACTCGTGGGGTATGCAGTCTCGCGCATGGGGGAACCACAAACACTCCTCGCGGGACGTTGGCGGTGTGTTTCTCTCCGCTGTCCGGATATTTCCCAGAAGATTGCCCCGCACTGCCACTAGGGAGCTAGAAGGAGGACGACATCTCACATGGAGAGAATCGACGACCTTCCTTCCTTCCGTTACTAGGGTAGGCACGCACTGGTGTCGTGGGTAGACTTGTGCCAGTTAGGCAGCACTGCACTTGTGGGCATTCTCGCACTCGGGCTGATGTGCTGCGGGGTGTACACTGCTGTACACACCCCGCACGATACGGCCGTCCTCTTTCTTCCCTTGTCACGACAACAGCACACACCCTGCTTTTTGCACCAAAAAACAGCACCAGCTATGATGGCGCCGGTCCGCTAGAACGACAACACAGCGGCACCTTCCGCGGAACGCTGCGTGTGCTACGCCATGCCTGACCAAACCCCCGGAGAGACAGATGGCGGACGCAAGACAATAAACATGATCACCGGAGAATCTGCGTACCCGCCGTCGCACTGCCCCAGTCTGTCCGTACCTGACGAGAGGCGTCGACCCGCCCTTCGCCTTGGTAGACACCGCAGGCAACGCCGCCCCGCCGTCCACGACCCCGCCGTTGATCGCCTTGGCAGCACCCGCGTTACCCCCTGGCTCCGCCGCGAGCTGCGCCACCATCGCCGTCAACTCTTCGACCTGCCCCGCTAACTTGCTGACTGCGAGCTGCAAATCCTGATCACTGCCACTACCTTGCTGCATGCGGACGGCAGAAGCCGCCCCCGCCCCCCTGCAACGGCGATGCGTTCCCGCTACTGACGGTGGAAACAGAGCTTGCTGGCGCCATGCAGTCGTCGTTCCAGCCGGAGGCGGGACGAACGCCCCGCAGAGACCGCACCATGCTAGCGCACAAGCCAGGGTCAAGAGAAGCGACGTCGAGTGTCGGCGTTTCATGACACGGGCCTGTCTGTATCGTCCCCCTTCCCTCGCTCTCTCTTGAGCCAGGAGAGAAGAGTGCACAGGGCACTAAAGCAAGGCCAAATCGCTCCCTAGTCCGCCCGGGGTGAGAGCTCTTGTGGGAGGTACGGTGTATGATACGTAAATGCTGTTCGGCGCAGGGGGCCAAACCAATTTCAACGTACTATTCGGCCGTATCACATACCCGCAGAGCTCCTTCATCTGCAGTACCCGGTGCCCCTAAACACAACATACAGCAACATACAGCAACATACATGCGAGCACTCTGGCACTGCCATCACCACAGCTGTGCTGTCGTTGCGAAACATGCTGTTCTGTCCGACAGATGGGAGCCTTCTCATGGTTGAGAGTGGACCCCAGGGCTGGACGAGATTCTGCTGCCAGACGTGTCCGTACATCCACCCCATGGAGCCGTCGGACAAAATCACTCGAAAGGTGCGCTGAATGCAAGAGCTGATACCACAGCACGACAAGCAGTAGTCTACAAGTTCTACGCGATCTACGGTCAGCTGAAGGTTGTGGTCTGCTAGCGCGGGAAGGCAAGATGAGGCAAGGTTCTGTGCCGTACGTGTTTTGGACAACACTGAACAACACCAAACCATTCCAAATTTGGAGCACGAGGCTGCTAGAGATGCCGACTTCCTCCCTCCATTCAACCTGCAATGTCGGAAGGGGGGATGTTTACAGGACGACGGACTAGTCTACCTATATGAGACCGGGCACGTGCTCGGTGCTCGATGCTTCTCTACAACCAGCAACCCTTCGGTTTGTGGAGTTTGAACAAGATCGAAACGGACAACGTTAAATCTTACCTTCCGCCACTCAAATATTGGGTGTTGACGACGGGGACACTTGCTACATGTACTGCCACTGCTGTCGCTGCAATGGTGGGCACAACTGCTCGACTGCTGTAGCACTTTTTTAGCTTTTGCGATCGTGTTGAAATACATTAACATGCTTGCAAATTCATCGCGACACAGGGCCATGCCCAGTATTTGCACGTTTTCCGTGCGTATTGGTGTTGGTGCGTAGTTGCAAGGGCCAACCTGCTGTTGCCCTCTGGAGCAAAGACTTGTTTGTCGTACTTCTTAGTCCAAGCACACACACATCACCCCAGGCAGGGTGCGTGAATGGTCTCCCCGATTTGCACCCCGAACCTACCGTGGTTGTTACAGATCGCGCTTAAGAAAAAGGCAGTGGATGACATCATGGGAGGAGATGACGCTTGGGCAAACGTGGACAAGACCCAGGTAAAGGCGGCATTCACCTGGGGTAACGACCCAGAAATTCGTTTCGTCATCATTGATCCACCGACATGACATCCAACCTATTTGTCGAAAATCGGTGTTATCCTTGTTTGCTTCGCGTTAGAAATGGTTCCCGACCATCTTTCCCCGGTATCGCCATCTTGTGGTTGCTTGCTGTCACCTTTTGTTTAGGCACCGACTGGTCTGTCTGCAAGAGCCAAAGCAGGTACCACGGGTAAACGAAAACACCGCGCGCTGCCACCAAACCACCGTTGTGTCCCGACCTCTGCCTCATCTCTCTCTCTCGCGCGCTCTCGCTCTCTCTCGCCGGCCCTCCCTCTCCCTCCCTCTTCTGTTCGTGTTCAATGCTGTCCACTTCGCGTTGTTTATCTCGTGACCGAACTTTCTTGTTATCCTGCCGCGTGCAGACGACATGCCCGTTCTGTAACAACAAGGAGGCGTTCTTCTTGATGGTGCAGCTGCGCTCCGCGGACGAGCCCATGACCTGCTTCTACAAGTGCACGAACTGTAAACAGCGGTGGAAGGAATGAAACGTGATTGTGCCGCTGCCGACGAGCAGCCCGTTTTTGTCCGTCTCCGTTCTTGTTCTATTTACCTGTGTGAAACCTGTTGGTGTTTTCTTGTAGGTGAAGTCGGGTGTCTGTCTGATGCCAATAAATGCTTCGCCTTTGTGTGTTTTCGGTGTGTGTGTTTGTTCTTCGTAGGAGTCGGGCACGGTTTGGTGTTGCCCTACAAATTGTCATGTGACGAACTGTGTGTGCATCGCGCCTTGGTATGTCTATTGGTTCGCCTGGCCTGGACGGCAGGATACCAGATTTCCTTGTGGGCGGTGTTTATTTTGCTGTGCTGCTGCGTATGTGTTGCAGCTGCAGCAGGACACGTGCTGCTGCCTTACGGTGCCTTACCTTAATGCCTCCAACGATGGGGCGAACTGTGCACTGCTGCGCTCTTCGCATCTGTTTCTACCCGCCCTGCTGCTTTAGCATGTTTCCGATTTTTGCCTCGATCGTGTCTCGTCTTGTGTAGTGTTCGCCCTGCAGGCAGAGGTGGCCGATAGGGCTTGGCTCTGCAGGCCATTTTTACGTAGATTTCCCATGTTGCATTTTTCTTATGTTTGTGACCACGGAAGGCGTCCGCGTCAATTTGACCTGCACTAAGCCAGAGACCTGAAGAGTGTTGAATGCTAAGACATGAGCAACTACGACGGTTGCACAAGCACGGCGTTCATGATAAGATTCCTTCGTGCAATAGCCCTCCACGGCTCTCCAAGATTGTGCTCTCTCTTTTCCGGTAGCCACTGTAAGACATGATGAATGAAGGTTAATGGCCAATGTTGGAAAGGCATTTATAATAATGAACGGTGTGACTCGAGCGATTAGAACTCATGTGCTCGCACCGCTTTTCCTGATCTTGGAATTTCTTTTGCGACACAGTTGTCGGCGTGTTTCAGCTTTTGGTCGGAGTACGTGCTGCTTTAGGAGGCAATCTTGGCTATGGCGAGTCTCGGTTTCTGGAGCCGACCACCAACATGCTCATGATGTGCACCGGTTAGGGCGCAGATCGTGTGTATCACGCCTTAAGAGCACCCTTGCGATGCAAACCACATCTGAGACCGAGGGTTCACCCTCTGCGTGCCCCGTACGGCGGCCAGAAATCTAACGCCGTAGGGATGACGAGTGGCGTCTCTGTGGAATGTGGTTGTGCCGACCCGGCAGGGGGCACGGTCCGAAAAATGAACATTGGCATGTGTATTCACGATGCGATGCACACTGATTTTGGCATGGCAATCTCAGGAAGAGCCCGTCCAAATTCCTGCCGATTGAGCAGCCAGTTGTACCCTCTCATTCGATCACCAACGTTCGATCATGCCTCGCAGCTTGAGCAAGATTTACCCCAACAGACATCCAACGTTTTCTCGACCAAAGTCGTCCTAATTTTGTTGCTCATGTCATGTGGCTGGAGTAAGGAGCTCTCGCCGACAGCACGGACAACACCGACGTGCTAAAAAATTGCCGATGCCTCGTGTGCATGATGTCTGCAGAGTACAAAAATATGAACAACACCGAAACAACACACTTATCTCGCACCAATGACTCAAACGCTCGTGAGACTGGCGAAATTATTACCACCAGGTACATGTCACGAGGGGAACGTTCGAACGTTGAAGTACGAGTCAAACACCCATCACCCAGACAACCATTTGTCCCCTAGTTTTGGACGGTGCATCTACATCCTGCCCGCGCGTTGCAGAGGGAGGGGGCTCAAATTTCCACGGCTGGCATGAAGAACCAACCAATACACTCGCCGCTTAATACTAATGATACATCTCTGTCGACGTCTGAAAAACCGTTCCGACAACTCTCTCTTCACGGGAACGACAACAGCAACACATTTTCCTATACAAGCACTCCTCGAAACATCTCAGCGTTGATCGGTCACACACATAACACTCGTCGCTCATTTCTCTTACAACGATCAAATTAACGAGTAAGACGAGTGGTCGTCCCACCGCCGAAGACAAGAGTGAGAGTCCAAGTTTCAACGTCACGCTAGGCTGATGTGTGTGTCAGCGTCGCCACCGGCGTCGCCGATTGATTCCTCATTACGCCCGATCGAAGCGGCGGCCTGGCGTTCCCTTCCCGCCTCCCCAGTCCCGGTGTTGCTTCTGGTAGAGCTAGTAAAGTCGATCGGGATGTCGATTGGCTCCGCAGGTGGTTCCGGGGTTAGCTTGGGCAGCACGAGCGTCAGAACGCCGTCCTCCAGGCCGCCACGGATGACGGACACGTCGATATCGTCTCCAATCTGGAACGACAGCTTGAAGCTCTCCTCCGAAAAGGAAGACAGAGAAGATTCAGGCTTGTCCTTGCCTGCCTCGTGAGGCGCGGCAGCATCCGCCACACCCGTAGTGGATGCCGCGCTGTTGCCATCGGTAGACCCTGATGTGTCAGGCGGCGACGACGGTGACCTGGCGTTACCGTCGGCGTGGCGTGGCTTCTTTCTCACCGCCGTGATCGTGAGCGTCTTCGTGCCGGAGTCTTCGGAGACCTGTGCGTCGACGTCTTCCTTCTTGCACCCCGGAAGGTCTACGATGAGCGTGGCGGCGTCGGGGGTCTCCAGGACTTCGTAGGGCGGGCTCCGCGCATCGGTCGTTGTGTCCGAGAACTCGCAAGCGACTGCGGATGGTTGAAGAGTGGGAACAAATAGAGAGTGGGAGTGGGTGTTAGAGGCGGTATATTCGCAAATAACGGCCAGGTCATATTGAAGGAAGATGCTTGTCAGCTGTAGATGTACCCGTCCTTCCGGAAGAGTCCGAGAACCAGGCCCTTGAAGCCCTCCTGCCCTACACAGGCCAGGGGTAGACACCTCGTAGGAAGGCGGCATTGCTGTATTCAGATGTCTGGGTAGTCAATAGATTTTTTCTGCTTTCATAATAGTACTTCGCAATGACTTTCTCACGCTTCCAGAGCACCCGCGTGGGGATGGCCTAGACTATATGGTGATGGCGGACCAAACTATCAACAGAACCCGATATCATAGGGGTGTGAGGACACCTTCTTCACGTGTAATTTGTTTGGCTAGTAGTGGAACTACGTAAAATGATGTACTTATTAGTACATGGATCAGAGCGCCAAGTGGGGCTGGTTTTGTCGGCGAAAGCAAATCCAGACCATGAACGAACACTCCCCAGCTTCATGCGACTAATAGAGGGGTTCGAGGGAAGAGTACGATTTTTCCCGCTGACTTGGTTTTTATGCATGCGAGTAATTACTCATGACTTGGCGTCCGAGGTGAGCGATAAAGTCGACCGGGCTTCCTTTTATGGCGATGTGGCTACAGGGGCGTTCCTACGCTGCTCTTGGTTTTTCTGCTCGTCTTGTTTGAGCCTTCGCATCCTCCCGAGTGGCGAAAATTCTGCGGCAATGCGTCCTTTGTTTGAATATGTTGTACAGCGTAAAAAGACACTTATTTGGGATTTTTCTGTGAACTCTCTAAGAACGCGCTCGTAACAGGCAATAGGTCTAGACCACAATCGCGTCTGCTCATTGGGAGAGTCTGTCCCGAGGGACGAAGGCTGACTTGGTTATAGACAGAAAAGTGTCTCCAAACTAAACTTGCTGTACTAATATATAAGCTTTCTAAGACCAATTGCCATCTTGTAGGAAAACAATTTAAACCATAAGAAGATAAACAATAAAATAAGAAAATAAAAAAAGTTAAACTTACACAACTAGTTATCATTGCGTTAGTTATAGAAAAATCAAATAGATTTACACCAAAACTTAATAAAGGAAGTATTTGAAATTGTTCTAAGGGGCTATTAAACATCTAATAAATTTTAAAAACAACACTGAAGCTTATAAAAAATGTATTAACCACAGTGTTTTAAATCCGAATTTTATAAAAGGATTATATTATAAATTTATAAGTATAAGAATAAAATATTTTTATCTATAGATTTAATAAAAATATTTTAAAACTTTTAATTAAACTTTCAAACCTATAATAAAATAATTTTATTGGACGACTTTTTATACTTAAATTATTTTTAAATATAATGCAAGTGCGCTGGAGATGCTTTCCATACGGAAGCCAAGTAATCAAAATTTCCAGTTCTAGGCCATGCGGACGGCTACCACGAAGGGGACACGCGCACGGACATCGCACAGCAGTACATCGCTCAGCGCACCATCCGGCATTTCAAGCAGCGGAGCCTACTCTGTAATGACGACACGGTGCGGTAAACCGACATTTATTTGGCCGTTGTGTCCCCAAAGTGTCCCCATTTGATCTTCCAGTACTATCAGGGTTATCCACGGGAAATAACACGCTTGCTTTTGAAAACAACAGGCAAGATGAGGAGAATCGCGTTGCTGCTGTAGACTATAGTTTCTGATATAGTCTATAGATAGGTAAATTGTTGCCAGAACAGTAACAACAACAACAGCAACAAGGTCCTACAGCCGATCTATCTACAAATGTAATCTACGGCTCGAAACAGAGAACATGCGGCCAATCTTCCTAATTTGTTTCTGAGGGATGGGATGAGAACGCGCCTGTGATTCTGACGTATACCAGCACCAGGTACCTCACGTGACATGATGTGGAATCGTGCATGTTGTGGTAAGAAGGCCAGGTGGCTTGATTGCCGATGGAGGGAATATTAATATTATGATGGCTGGCATGCACTTATCCCCACATCCGGGTGGTGGCACATGCCGATATGCGGTAGAGCTCGACGAAACTTCGCGTTTGGATTTTGATACGCATTGGACGGTGTGTCGTGGGCGCGTTTTACACTTGAATCGAAAGGTGCAGTGCTGTAGATCTCAACGGTCAACAAACCTTAGTTCTCGAACGCGCTTGCTGTGTTTCGAGTGTAATAACAGCGATACCGGGAGAAGGTAAGCAAAGCAGAGAGCCGACACATGATCAAGGCGGCCGCCCACGAAAGGTGCCAAGCTCGCCGAATAAGCATTACAGTCAGTAGCAGTGGGTTCAATTGAGTCGCTATTTCGCCATCTCTCTTTCACGCACGCACCCTTCTTGATCTCGCCCATCACGTCTTGGAACACGTCCATGAGGGGTCCAGCAGAGCTCACGTGCGGCCGACCACGCGGCTGCACGTGTCGGAACGGCCTGAACGCCCCAGTGTCCACTATCTCGCTGCTCACTACCGTGGGCAGCTGGAACTGGCGTCGACCATGGTGGTGGTGGTGCCCGCCGTGGGTGCGGTAGCGGTGGCACTCTCCTTGCTGCGTGCCGAGAAGGAGTGCAAGGAGCGCCAGGTGGGTGTTGGTTGAGGTAACCATCTGTCTCTTCGTCGATTACACGCGCGGTTTGCTGGTCGGTGCTGCTGTGGCGGTCTGGCGTAGGCTGTGGTGTGCCGGATGTGGTTGTGTGGGGAGTGGGGGGGCGAAGCTGCGGGGCAGGACATGACCGTACACGGGTAAAGAGGGGAGGAATCCACGTGTATATCCTGCATGCTGAGCAAACTCGGTGGTGGCTGGTGGGAACAACGACAACGCCTCCATATATTTATTTTCGCGTTCGAGAGAAATGTCGAATATCAAGATTGATTTTGATTGGTCCGCGCGGCCAGCGTTTGTCTCATCTGTGTGCCCCCCAGTCCCCAAGTCTCCCTGGCTTGACCCCTGCCTCTTCTTCTTCTGTCGTCTATCTTCGTTTTCTCTCCATCTCATTACGCACGTGGCTCAAAGACCTCTCACGTTGGCAGCGCGCTCACACCCTCGACTTTGGCTCTATATACTACCAGGCAGCGGGACCCTGTAAGCATCATGGTGGTTATGCGCGACCAGCAGGGAGCGGCGACAAGATCGCGCAGGAGACGCGGAGGAAGCGGAGGGACCTCCACTTCGAAATCAGCAGTCTATGGAAGCTGGGTTGGGCGCTTGCAATGGAGCTGCTTCCTGGCTCTTGCGGGTCTGGTGGTTCTGGTGTCTGGCCAAAAGGACTTGTATGAGGTCCTGGGTCTAGGGAGAGGGGCGAGCTCCTCTGAGATCAAGTAAGTACCTGCCGCCGCAGCAGTCCCAAGGGGTGTGTGTTTTTTTTTCGTCCCCCCGACCGCCGTACTCCCGAATATCTAGACTTGCGTACACATCTCACCGTACGGTCTTGCTTTGGTTGTACTGCGGTACATAGATAGCTCCTCGATGATCTGATCCAGGAGACCCCTGTAGAGTTTCATCGTTCCAGTTCCACCCTACAAAAGTTGGCAATTATGTGGCCCTGGTAAAAAAAATGCACTCGGTAATGGGCGTAGTGTTTGGTCCCTGTATTGTAGTGAGTCCGTCACGCTGCTGCACCGCCATTGAAAGAGAAGATCGAAGGATCCCTTTTCATCGACTACTGCTGTATTGGACCGCCGCGTTGACCTTCGCGTTGCAGCCGTTCAACAAAGCAGAGATCTGTCAACAGTAGTAGGGCGACGCGGCCTCGGCCGTTGCACAACAGGCACCACGTGGGAGAAAGAAAAATATAGAAGCTTGCAACGCGGTCGCAGTACTTGGTGCCACAGCATGGTGCAACGTGTGTATGTGGAACAAACGTAAACGTTTCAACAGAGCCAGCGTAGTCAAAGCGAGAAGCATATACAAGCAGATACATACACATGCATGTGGTAATGCCCGTACTGTCGGGGTCCCTCTGCAGGGTGGGCTGTACAAGGCGTGTGGCCGGTATCGGTTGGGCGAAGTCTCTTGGCATGACACAGATCGACCAGTTGATTTTTATGCCTGAGCAAGGGTGGGTACCCCCTATTAGCGGCCCAATCGGCAGAGGGTGTGCATGTCCCCGCCCGCTTTACAAGGACACCGACGTCACGGAGTTTGGGATGCCGATTCGCGTAAAGAGAAGTACCGGCGGTGAGAAGCAAAGACCGTATAAGTCTACGCCCAACACCAAGTATATCTTTTTTTCGCGAATCGCAGGGAAAGATACGGAGCTTAAGTAGCGATCCTTTCTTTGTAGTAGAGCCGGCTGCGCAATTCCCCAGGGTATGGAAGGGCTGTCGACACCGTTTCGACCTCGAGTCCTGGCCATCCCTTTTTCTCGGCGTGCTTTTTCCTCATGATGACTGCTAGGTTGTGGTTGTTGGGTTTCGATCGTCGTTGCTTGAATACACAGCGTTGTGGTGGCTCGCCCGTTGCCGCCGCCGCCCTCGTGCCGCGCCCTCCAGGAAGGCGTACCGGCAGCTGTCGCTCAAGTACCACCCGGACAAGAACCCTAGCGAGGACGCCGCGGCGCGTTTCGCGGAGGTGGCGTCTGCCTACGAGGTGCTCTCCGACGATGAAAAGCGGTGAGTATGGCACGGTAGTGCGGTGGCACTCGTGCCCTACGACTAAATCCTTTTGCCACAGTATATCGGTTGTGTTGTATATTTTGCCTGTGATATCGCGAAATAGAATAGGGTTGTTGTCGAGGGTATGGTGTTGGCCGTGGAGTTGACCGGTCTCCGCTTCTCACCGCCGCTGTTACCGGCGTTTGTGTGTGTGCAGAACGCACCGCCGCTTCGTAACAACCCCTTGTTCTTGGTTTCGGCAGCCCTCGCGACTTGTCGCTACCTCTTTGAGGAAAAAGAACACAGAGAATATGTTGGTTTTAGTGTAAGTTAAATAATTGTGCTCTCAACCCACTACAAAGTTTTTCAGTGGTAGTGCGTGTAGGTGTGACGTAGACGTGCATGATCTCCGTAGACGCGAGACGAACCCTCGTTCCCGGAGGGAGATTGTTTCGAGGTTGGGGAACACTTCTTTCACTAAGTTGTTCTTTGCCTGGGTTGCGGTTTCCCACGGTGCTCAGGGATACCTACGACAGGTTCGGCGAAGAAGGCCTTAAGCGCACGGAGCAGGGCGGCAGCGCAGACCCCTTCGGCGACATGTTCTCACACTTTGGGTTCGGTGGAGGCCGGCGTCAACGAGAAGAGAGCCGAACGCCAAACGTTGAGGTGATATGCGGTCAAGGTCCACGACGCGTGGTCACGTGTTTGTGGTACTTACCTACCATGCGGAAGTGCGTCTGGCATTTGACAACCCTTATATGGCCAGCATTCAGGTCAAAGAATTATTTGCGGCAAGCAACGAAGGAACAAGCCCGAACCCTCCTCCCCCGCATTCTGCCATGGCCCGACTGTTCGGGTCCCAACTCCTCAACCTGTGTTGGGTTGTTTGTCAAGTGCTTTCACACGCCTCCAAAGCCTACTTCTCACTATTCCCTCCCTACCTCCTTCGTGGTTGTCTGCAGATCCCCTTGCGAGTATCCCTGCGTCAGCTGTATGAGGGGGACACTTTCGACACGGTCTACGTCCGCCAGGCGATGTGCGTTGGGGCGGGGCAGTGCGAAAAGAACTGCAAGGATTGCCAGGGCCCCGGCATCGCCGTCAAGATGCACCAGCTCGGCCCCGGCTTCGTGCAGCAGGTTCAGGTGTGTCGCCAAGCCAACCAAGCCTCTGGTTGTGGCTGCGATTCGAGTGCAAGGTCGTCGTCGTCGTGGGCGACGCGGCCGCCCGTATTTTTGCCTCTTACCTATTTTTCTTCAACGAGCGCAAGGGGGGTGTTCTCCAAGAGGACTCTAGTGTCTATTTCACGGGGGAGCGATTCATAAGGTTTGCCGTTCGAGATCCGAGGGGAGATGTACAAATGATGCATTAGCCTTTGGCAGCAAACTCGCGTGTTACAGTTTGCGATCGTCCATTCCCTCCAGCACGAACGTTCTGACATGTGGTCTGCGTGCGTGTCCCTCCCTCCCCCCTCCCGTTCATCGCTGCCGTTCCCCTCCCACCAAAAAGATCCGAGACGACAACTGCATTGCGCGAGGGAAGTGCTGGAAGAAGAATTGCTCGGCTTGCCCGAACGGTCCGACCCAACAGGAGGAGGTTATCTTGACGGCAGAGGTGCAGAAGGGCATGCGAGACAGAGACACAATCGTCTTCGAGGAGGTGGCGGACGAGATGATCGGGCACAGGGCCGGGCACCTGGTGTTCATCATCGAGACGCTCGTCCACCCGGACTTCACGAGGAGGAACGACGACTTGCACATGGATATGGAGATCCCGCTCGTAGAGGCCCTGGTGAGAGAGACAGGCAGACACACAGAGAAAGGCAGAGAGAGAGAGAGAACCTCCCGGCGACTTGGGAGATATTAGTTGAGCAACCAAAATCAGATGTTGAGACAGACCAGGCAGTGCTGATCGGTCTGAGGTGGCTGTTCTAATGGTTAGGCTTGGGCTTAAGACTGCTTTCAGTGGTCTTTGTTTTCGTCGATACCACATTTGAAGATAAGCTTCAGACAGACGTTGTGTGAGACGTTGCTCTGCTGTTTAGAGTTTTTTTGTGCTTGGTGTTCGTATCATTTCCGATGAGGGGGGGGACAGAGTGCGTTCTTGGCAAAGGTTCGAGCACAATCATGCCCGCTCTTAGGCCTGCAGTATGTAGAAGAGAGGGGAGGGGACACCATACCCCCGGTGAACGTCTTCCCCAGAGACACGCCGCGTCCGCTTTTGCGGCGCCGTGGCCGATAGGTTATTTTGGTCCTCGTGCTTGAGGCGCGAGTGGAGATGCCTTATTCGCTGGCCTCCGTGGTGGCGAATGGAAAACCGTTTTTGGTGTGGTATATCCGTACGACATGACCGCAAATCATGCCTCTTGTTTTTCCACAAGCTCGTCCTCTTCATTCTGCTACTAACGCACCCATGGTCGTTGACGTTACCGCCTGACCTCTCCGCTCAGTCCGGTTTCGAAGTCAGCTTCAAACACTTGGATGGTCACATGGTGAAGGTGAAGAAGCAGGGGATCACGTCTCCCGGCGACGTGATGCAGCTAAAGAAAGAGGGCATGCCCCGGAGAGGGAGTAATGGGAAGACCTTCGGCAGCCTCTACATTCGATTTTCAATCGCCTTCCCCAAGGTTCGTTTTTTTTACATCCTCAGTGGAAGCTGTCTACGCAACGATTGAAAAATATTATGCTAACGAGCAAGGATAACAAGAGGACAAAGTGTTTGCCAAACGTCCTCGGTATTCTTGGCACCCCCTTCTCGGTAGATTCCCATCCGGACCAGAAAGTTTTTGTTGACAAGATAGCTGCGCACGGTTCTTGTGTTGCCAGCAATGCTATGAGCCATCGGAAGAGCTGTCATCCGCCGCCGGATCAGTGTTTCTCTCCCACACTGGGCCAAAAAGTCGCGTCTCGGCTTTGCCGCTCTGGTTCGCATCGAGTGTGTGGGTACGCGTGGTTTCGTTGAGCTTGTTTTTGTTCTTTTCAAGAGTGGATTTCCCGACCCGACCAATTCAACATGCCGCCAGGCACATTTGCCGTACTCCCCAATCAGGCAAATCTCCTCTCTAGGGAATGGTCCAGCAGCCGCTGGTGCTGTTGCTGCTGCTGCGAAGCCGGCGTAGGTTTTCACTTAAGCAAAGATCGCAGGCTTTTCCCCGGCATGCATCTTTGGCGACAACTGCTGTGGCAGTTTTCGATGCTGTGAACCGCCACCCCTCGACTCTCGCTGCGCTTCATCGTCGGCATGTGTCTCCCTTATCCTCGCCGTATGTGCGGAACTGACTGCGAGCGCACACACCCTACCCGATGTTGGAACCCTTTCCGCCTGTCCGGTGCTCGTCGCTGTCTCGTTGGTTGGCGTTGTTTTTGTTGCGCAGGCGCTATCCGCCGAGCAAGTGACCACTTTGCGAGGCGTGCTGCTAGAGGGGGAGGACGAGAAGGCGGACGCGACGCAGGAGTTGTAGGGGCTGTGGAAAGGGAGGGAGAGACATCGATGGGAGATTGGTGGGGTGTGAGTAAGCGAGAGGTGTCGCAGAAAATCTGCAGCCGGCTGTGACTGGCTGCTGGTGGTTGTGGTGATGGCGGTAGCGCTTTTTTTGGTGTTTGTTGATCGGCTGCGCTGCGACTGCTGCTGCGACTGCTGCTGCTTTTGATATCCGGTTTCGGGGGACTCTTGGTAAAGGGACAGGCAGAGGAGAGAGAGAGTCCGTGGGAGGGGGCGTACTCTCATGTTTTGCATGCCTGAGCGGTTAGACCATTGACCACGCGTCCTCGAGTGGACGGAGCATTGTTCCCACAGGACCAATCGCCGATGGCCAATCGTTCCTTGCTACTTTGCCAAAGGTGGCTCAAGAATGTCGTCCCTAGTCTGTCTATCCTACCGATATCCCTTCCCGCCTTTTCAACCCACCTCCTTTGCCCCAGTACAGCTACCGTCCTTTCCTCTCCATTCCATGCCCAAACATCTCCCTGTACGTCCCATCTATTTTTCCCAGCTCAGCACGTGCACTTCTCTCTCCGTCTTGTACCACGGACATTCCGCGACTACATGAACACGGACTTCGCATTCGAAGCCGCAATCACATTTGAACTCGTCGTCTTCGTCGTCTACCGTCCTATGTCTTCGTCGAGTTCTCGAAGGCCGATGTCCCCGGTCCTGAATTTGCTTTGTTCCTGCATCCATCGGTCCATGGAGGTAATCCTTGAACCCTATTCCTTCCTTCAACATTCCGTACACTTCTGGGCCCTCCTTTTCCTTGGTTCCTTGAAATCTGTTCTTCTCTCTCGGCACAAGCAACAGATATCTTCTCCTTGAACCCCTGTAGACCCTCCGTTTCCAGCGTTTCATCTTCGTCGATGTCGGGCCCCTTCCGTACGTCCTTTACAACCTTGACCCATTCCGTGGGTTGTCCACCCCTCTTTTTGTTTGCCCAGTTCGCCTCCCATACTATTCTCGTCAACCTCTCCTCTCCCATCCCGCACATGCGATACTGCCATGTCAGCTTCCTCGCGTCTCTTTCCCGACCGTAGGGATTGGATCCCCAATTCTGCCCTGACGGCTGCATTACTTGTGCGC